AAAAAAAAAAAAAAAAAGGAAAAGATTTTTTATTGATTTTTAGAGAGAGAGAGGAAGGGGGTGGGGAGAGAGAAACACCTATGTGAGACCTGGCGTCGAAGCAGCAGCCTTGGTGCAGGGCACGACGCCCAGCCCTCCGAGCCACACCGGCCAGGATGTGATCAAGATCTAAAATGAACCCAGATACGTTTGGAAAGGTCCTCGTTTGTAAAGTCATGTCATGGGAGGGTCTTGAGTTCACTCTTAACTGTAAGTGAGCCAGCGTCCGGATAACAGGAAGAGTCTGTAACAGGAAAAGTCACTCCCTCAGTCGTGACTTTTGCTCCGCTGGCAGGGACTTTGGAGTCTGTAAAATGTCTTTACCTGTGACAAAGCACTTTTTAAATTAGGCCGTTTGTGGGTGACTTGCCAAGTTGTGTTTCACTCTGATCTTGCCAGTGTGGACCTGACCAAAGAGGAAGCGCCTGGCCCCGTCGGCTCTAGAAGCGGCTCAGCTGGACGCCCCCAGCAGGAGGACGGCAGCATGTTCTCTCTCGTCACCTGGAACGTGGACGGGCTGGATCTGAACAACCTGTGGGAGCGGGCTCAAGGGGTGTGTGCCTCCCTCGCTCTGTGAGTGCTCGCCCGCCTGTGGGAGGGGGCGGTCGTGCGTCTCCCCTGCGTGCAGGAGGCAGCCGCTGAAGTCTGAGACTGGAATTCAGGTCCAGCTCCCAGGGTGGAGGGAGAGGCGGGGCAGGAACACAGGTTTTTGTTAGAAGCCTTCTCGTGCTATTTGACTTACTGACCTTGTCTGTAATCATTGCTACGAGAATTACCAGGCAGTTCTGAGGCTGTCACACTGGCCGTCACCTGTGGGGTCACGGGTGAGCCACGTCGCTTGTCAGGGATCATTGTTTCCAGAGGACGAGGACGGAAAGGGGTGGTCACACGTGAAGTGTCCCTCGGGGTGCAGGACTGTGGTGCCTCTCAGATTACTGCTTCCTGTTGTCAGTGATTCTCATTAACTTTACAGTGTGGTGTCACATATATGTTTTTTAAAATTAATCTTTGCAGTATTATGTGTGAAATAGCACAGATCTCTCGTTTTATAGTTACCAAAGAGCAGCATGAACATTGAATATTGGGTGTCTGTGACGGTCAGTTTTGTATTGCTTTTATGTTGTGGTATTTCCTAATCTAGGTTCTGCAGATGAAATGGTACATATCTGCTGTTCACCATAAACTGATGTTTTCAAACAGGTACAGCCCGGATGTGATATTTCTACAGGAAGTTATTCCCCCATATTACAGCTTGCTAAAGAAGAGAGCAAGTAGTTATGAGATTATTACAGGTAACAGCTTTCCTGTCATTTACCTTGCCTTTTTCTTCAAAAAATGTGTCAATGAAAGAAACAAATCGAAGTTAGCCTATTGGAGCATCGGCAGAAAAAAAGTGCAAACACAGTAAGTTTAAGCAAAACAAGCCAGAAACAAAATACTGAGAGAACTATAGGAGATCATTTTATAAAGCTTTGAAGTGAGAAAGTGGTTGAAATGAATGATATCTCAGGAAAATGTAAATTGTCAAAATTTGAGTCAGTAGCTTTTTGGAGACATTAAGTCATTAAAAAAATTTAAGTGTGATAATTGCATTGTCGTTACGCTTTTTTCCAAATTCTTAATTTTTCGGTTATAATTCACATGCTTTGTTAGCTTCATGTGGTTATGCTTTTTCAAAAGTGTTTCTTTCTAGCTTTTCACTCTGAGTAAGCCAGTCTTTCTGTTTCCGCCTGCTTTGTGTTTGCCACTTGGGCTCAGTCCCCGTCTCCGGTGCCTTTCCCTTGTCCACAGGACGAGGTTTGCTTCTGACTTTCTGTCCTGAGAGGGCTCCCGCTGGGCCGCCGGCTCTTTCCTGCTCTGTCTGTGCGACGACTTTTCTGCCTTCTGGGGATTCTTTCTCTCGCTCCTGGATTGGATTTCTTGTTTTCTGAGCCGGTGCCTGCCTCCTCCCCGGTGTACTTCCGCGCTTTATTGGTGCAGATTCTGTGATCACTTTCTAAGAAAGAGTGTGTGGGGAGGGAGTTTCTGAATCCCTGTGATTCGTCCCCACAATTGGTTGATTGTTTGGCTACACATAGATTTCTCGGTAGAAAGGTATTTGTCAGTGTTGCCCGGTTTCCATTGTTGATTATAAGTTTGAAGCTGCACTAATTCCTGGCCTCCCCTCTCCCTAAGCTTTGAGGGTCTTTTCCATCCTGGTGTTCTTTGGGTGGTTTTTTTGTTTTGGGGTTTTTTTCTCATTTATTCTGAACACTTGGAAGGAACTTTCAGCCTGGAGGTTTGTGACCTTCAGTTCTGGAAAATTCGTCCCTCTCTCTGTCCCTCTCCGGCCCCCCTGCCACCTCTCTAGCCTTCCTCCCACCCCTTCCTTTCCCTTCCATTCTCTTGTCCTTCTTTTCTCCTTTTTCCTTCCTTATCTTCCTTTTTCTTTTTTGGATCCTCTGTTCTGATAAACCAGTTACCACTCCTTCATCTACTTGGTTGTTTTTTTTAAACTGTTGGAGCCTCCATCCCTGCCTCTTCTGTTCTGTTCTTCTTGCAGCTTTACACCTTCTAAGTTTTCTGTTCATTTATTATAATTTTCCTGGGGCTTCCGAGTGAGAAGTAAATTTGTTTCCTGTTGGCACCTATGTGAAGTCATGTCTATTTTTATATTTCGTCCATACTTCTGTGACATTGTGGGAGGGGGCAGGTAAACATAGGGACATGGTTGGCCATCTTCAACTATTTTGAAATAATAGTTTACTTTTAAGATTGGGATCCATTTGAGTGTCTGTACTTGTTTGCTGTAAAATCTTCAGTAGGGGAACCTGTTATACTCTTGTCTTCTCAACTGAAATTCTTTTCTACAAACTTTTGAAGGTCATGACGACGGATATTTCACAGCCATAATGTTGAAGAAATCAAGAGTGAAATTGAAAAGCCAAGAGATTATCCCTTTTCCAAATACAAAAATGATGAGAAACCTTTTGTGTGTGCATGTGAGTAATTGTTAAAAATCAGCGGCTTTTTAAAAAAAGAATAGTTTCTTCTTCATAGTTCCATGGTGTTGTCCTTTCTTTTCTTCTTACTGTTTCTTTAGAAAGAATTTGCTCCTCACTTAGAGATTCTTCTATTAGTCTTAAAGAACTTTGTGAGTTACGTTTTTATATAAATTTCAAACATAGACAAAAACTTGTAAAAATAAAATCCTTGATTTGTTAGATGTTTTCCTAAGAATGTGAAAGGAATTCTTTCCTGAGAATTTGTTAATATTCCCTTCGCTTCCGGGGGTGTGTGCCAGTCAGTGGGCTAATCTGATTCTGGGGTCAGAGGTCAGCATCGGGGCTGACGTAACCACTGTGCTGTTGGTCCCGTGTCAGGCAAGCGTGTCGGGAAACGAGCTGTACCTCATGACTTCCCACCTGGAGAGCACCCGGGGGCACGCGGAGGAGCGCGCGAATCAGTTTAAAATGGTTCTGAAGAAAATGCAGGAGGCTCCCGAGTCGGCCACCGTCATATTTGCGGGAGACACAAATTTAAGGGATCACGAGGTGAGTGACAGCCGTTCACTGCTGAGGGCGGGTTGTGGCCGTGGAAGCTGGTTCCGGTTCCTTGTGATAACGCTGGTAAAGGGGCACTTGCCGCTGTCGGTGAAAACCCGGCAATAGTGACTCAGCCGTGCTCTGTCCAGCCTGGCGGCAGCAGAGGCAGGAGGCCTGCTGTGTGACGGGGGGAAACGGGCGTGTGAGACACGCAGGGCAGTGGGCTAACGAGGGCTCGCGGGAAGTCAGTGGTCAGGGAGCTTAGGAGAGTCACGTTCATCGTGGGTCTAGTCGCAAGGTGAGGAGAACAGAGTGGAGCGTCATGGTTGTCCCCTCTCCTGGCACCACGTGTCCAGGGCTGAACGATGTCTCTCTTTCCTTCGTTCCGTTGGGATGTAGTGAGGTTTCCAGGGCTTTATAGACCCAGAACCTGCCTCCCCCTGTGGCCCAGCTCCCATCAGACAGCGCGGATGGAGATGGAGCTTCTGCTCAGGTCCCTGCCACAGCTCAGGGGCAGGACGACTGAGCAGGGAAGGAGAGCGGGCAGGGCTCTGCCCCAGGGAGGCCGTTTCCCAGGAAGGAGGCGGCTCGGCCTCCCGGACGCGGTGTCGGCATGGGCACAGCCGTGAAGAACGGGGCTTTCTGTCGGCTGCTCGCAGATTGACTTGTTTA